TGATTTCTCGCTTTCTGTCTCTATGTCTCTCTCTGTCTGTCTTGCGAGCGCACGCGCTCTACAGTTAAAATCTCTCAAAAAAAAAAAAATTACCAACATGTTTTAGAGTTTTCCCGATTTATGCTTAAAGAGCTTTTTTTATTTTTATTTTTTTTGGTGTTTGTGTTGTAAATATTTGTTTCATTTGTCAGAGGGTGTATGCCTGAGGGACAGAGAGATGGAGAGAGAGTAAGGGAGGCAGAGAAAGCTCTCCCAATGGACCATAGTCACATTGCAATCCCTTCTCCTCTATTTCGTCATCCTGTCAGGATTTGAGGTACACACGCATGTGTGCCCAGTGTGGTTTTCAGGCCACCACGGCTGAAATTTGAACTGCAGTGTCACTGTGGGGATATAGCTCCCTTAACCACCAGGCCACAGGACCAGCCCTGTCTGCCTTGTTTTGGCTTTTTTCTTTTTTTTACAATTAAAGTATGAATTTATTTTGGTACAAAAACTTTTTGAAATTCATACATAGTTCTCCCATTACATGTATTTCCATGAGCTTTATTTTTTCTGAAACTTTTTAAAATTGATTAATTTATATTTATTCCCTAAGCATAGTCACAGTATACAAAATGTGATTTCCCATCCAGAATATACTGCATAGTGGCTTAATCATGCATGTTATCATCACTAATTTTCATATATATATATATATAATTTTTGTTTGTTTGTTTTTGTTTTAAAGTCCTATTTCTGACCCTCTGCCTTTTCCCACCCTCCTCCCATACTATCTCTGGTGTCTACAGTTGTTTCCCATTCCTTTTTCTCCCACATTTTATTGATCACACAATTTTTTATATAATTAACTACTTTCAATAGCAAGTTCAGCTGATAATTTCAAGAAAAGCAGTTTTAACTTTAATAAATCAAAGAAATGCTAAGAAACTTTGCTTAAAACTTAAAGCCTGGAAACAGGTTATGATTCTGTTCATATAGTAGGTACATGAACCTATTGACAGCTCAGGACAAAAATCCTTAAAACTATAAAACAAAGCCTAGAAGAAAATCAGCAATGTTTTAGT